CAGCTCCCTGAGCTATATAGTTACACAAACACCAGTGCTTTCACAAGGGACAGGGGAGATAGCATGCAGCCAAGAAACAGGGTAAGACTGCAGCAGCCAGAGTTGACGCTGGCATAAACTGCTATGGCACTGCATGTCCCTCCAGAAGGCAATGGAGATGCAACGATACCTGGCTTATCAAAGTTGATTCTGTGGTGCAGATGCCCACTGAACCTTTTGTTTAAGATCAAACAGAAGTTAATAAACTTATATCTATATAGGTGGTTAGATTTAATGCATGACATTTACTGATCTTGAAACGTAGAAATATGCTGGCATATTACTTGAGCAGCTCAATGACATGCAAGAAAGGATGCAGATGTTAAGCATCGTCACAGTTCAGTAGTCCATAGCCAATGTAAAACATGCAAAAGTCCTTCCATGGCCCAAACAAGTCACCTACTGAGTAGAAGTTAGATACATGAGCTGAACTACTCAGATGTGACATAATAGATCAGCTGTATAAGTTAGACCAGCAATAGACTTTTTAGGCTTGGTTTCTAGCACCACCCCTTACCCAGATGAGACAAGTGAGAACTGAAGTTGTTTCTTTTTGTGGATGCCACAGCCCATTAGTCTGGAAGAGGACAGTACTGGAGGAAGGGTGTTGTCATCAACGTTTTAGAATCAAATCACTAGTCTGCATCAGTATGTCTATAGTTTTTGGCTGTTCATAGAACGCATGTGAAAGCATGAGCCTTGGATTGTTAAAGGTACCTTGAAGATTGGGTCTTATTTAGACAAGCAACCTAAAGTACTGAAGTAGTACATAGTACTACATAGTACATCGATTCTGAGATTTACAGAAATAGTAGTAACTAATTTCAGAATTCATGTTAGCACTACTCATTATTTAGAAGTAAACAATGACTTGCATTCTTCCATCTGGCAGCCAACAAAGCTTATTACAAAGTTGGTATCTCAGTTATATCTGATACTTCACTGATACCACTAGCCATAATAGAATCTGTCAGTTGAGCTAGCATGCATTTCAAATTACCAATGCAAATTACTCTTATTAATTGGTGCAGTGCAAAGGCATTCAATTTCAGGATGAATAATCCTCTCCATTGGGAGGCAGAAATCAGAGTGTAATCATTTTATGCTTGAGCTGTTGGAAATGCAGTGTTGTGACTACTACTACAAGCTGCTGTCAGTACGACTGGAGATACTAGCACTCAGACTGAAGGGTCACTATAGTTTTTCTGACAGCAGCCACAGCCATATCTTACATGATTTTACTTTTGAAATGGAATTCTAATGAGATGCCTTTCTACCATGTTTCAAGCTGTGTGATATTGATCGTTTAAGAAAAATAAACTAACTGCCTCTGTTAGATAAGCTAGATACTATGTACATAATCATTGCACAATGCACAAGATTCCATTTCTGGCTTCATGATTTTGCACTCTGATGTTGGTTTCACAGAAGCAGTTTATTTGAAGCGTTCTGAATTAACACTGTAACTAGTAATGGAAAAAGGAACTGCTAGATCATCATACATGTGTGAGAAATGCTGTGAAGTAGATGTTTTCCTAACCTTGGTGCAGGCAACCTGTCTAGTTCCCCAAAAGCCTTGTTCTCTATGGCTTGACTTGCTTGACCAAGTGATTTGCTGCAGGTAACACTGTCATCATGGACTCACTGCAATGACCGAGTCATCCACACTCCCTTTTCATAGGGAATGGCATTCTTGCTCAGACTTCTCTACAGGTTAGGTGGATTCTGATTGACGATGAGGCTGACTGCCTGCATCCAGGATGCTCTAGGGTTAAACCTGCCTGACTTTCTCCTGCCTGCTATGGGGGAGGCTACCTTCCCTGTGAAGAGAGGACGCAGATCCCTTGGGATACCCTAGCCTGCCTTCTGCAGCAGAATTGCATGGTTCTTTCAGGGTTTCCCGGAATTCTGAACATTTACATTGTTTTGTGAGATTACACCAGTATCTATACACAATTTCAAACAACATTTTATTTAAATTTCATGTATATGTTTTGCCACAAGGTTACAAATTACTCGTTGCACAAAGTAGTCAAACAAGTGCGATACACTATAGATAAAAGAGCAAAATAAACTACAAATGTCTATAGTACGGTGGAATCAGCCATATAAAACTATTATCCATATCTTTAAGAAAAGGAATATATTTTTAATCCATGCTGTAGTATGGGCAAAAAAGTTGAAATCAGCAGACAGGAAATGGATGACACAGTGGAAAGAAAAAGTCTGGAAGGAATAAGGAAGAATCTTGCATTTCAAATATGTAATGAAGTTACTATCACAGCACTAATTCTGTGAAAAGAGACCATGGACGGCAATTTTCCAACGGCTTATTAGCAGAAGTACTGATGGAAAGTAAATATTTTCCCTATTGAATGAATCATTTTACCAGTAAAACAAGTTCTGATGCCAGTCAAGCAGTATCGGGAAGGCAAGACTTCTGAGTCAGTGCAGTAATTCCCCCATTTTAGATGTATAACCAGGATCAGCATTTATTGAGAAACTGTTCTTAAAAACTTGACTTGTATGCAACTTGATTATTCAACATGATTTCTAAAGAATTCAGTAAGTGACCGTAGTATATTCAGAACATACTTCTCAAGGAGACCACCTTATCAGGAGAATGAAAGAAGCTTCATTTTGAAGCAATAAAAGAACAGTCTTCCTCCATAAACCCTACTTGGACATGGAATGCAGAAATGGATAGTAGGAACAATCTCAAGTAAGTCTAGAAAACAACTGTCTTGCTCTTTCCGTTCTGTTCATGCTTAGCCTTGTCTTTCAGTTGTTAAATACTTTGTGTGTTTACAGATGCTGTCCTTAGATCAATTACAAGACTTCTCTTTTATTCTATACCAAGGCTAAATCTGTACATTTCATATCAGTAAATAAAAGCACATACAATGAGTTAAAAATCACAATTAACAGCAAGTATCATGAGAAGGCATTTACCAGCAAGCACTGGGAAATGACCCTACAAAGATGTAGCGCTGCCGTCTTAAAATTTCGTCATGAATCTCAGGATATTTGATTAAAATTCCAGGTTTGAGCCATATTAGCCTACCAAGAACAGGCCTCTCGCAATATGTGCTCTTCTGTGTAACAGTAGCTTCTAACCTCATATACCTTGTGTGTTCTTGTATGTTTGCCAAAGGCTGAAACAGCAGAAGATTTATAATAAAAAGATTTCTTTCTAATCTCATGCCTATGCATCCTTTGACAATGGTCTGATTTTAGCCAGCTAGAATAAAAATAACAAAACTCATTATTGATAAGGATCATTGTTTAAATGTGAAAAAGATTTCCACAAAGCTGTAGAGCATTCTTACAACATTTTCATTTAAACACTCATTTTCTACTGTTCAGACTACAATAAAAATACCAGGACAAGATCTCACCCTCTCAGTAGGCAGAATTCCTGCTTATTCTTGCACCGAGCTTCATGAGCATGCAGCAAACAGCAGTCCCCAAATTATAGAAAAATATCTACAACATTGCCTGGTCACCTGTACCTGAATGCAAGACACCTACCCCCACCCTTCAGTAACTCTCCAGTTTCCCACTGTCCTGGTCAGGGTTCAAAAATAAGAGTTTTGTACTGCAGGATGGATCCCTAAAGCTAGCAGTAGGCATGAAATCAGAATTGAAATAGGCAGGTCATCCATCTTTTCTTAAAAAAAACAAACCAAAACAAAAACCAAGCAAAAACCACAGCACTCTTCTACATATACCAGGGTGGTGGTCTTCTCTGACTATCTAACTAAGCGATCAACTGATGGTGAAAGTTGTATGATTTAACAAGAAGTAATAGCTGAAAACATCTCAGCACAGCTGTCTTAATCATATTCTCTAGTTCCTTAGTGGAACTGCTGGTTCTGGACTCCAGTATTTATACCAAGTGCCACAATATGGGTACCAAAACCATGTGTCATGTATTAGAGAATTTGTTCATGAGATGTGAATACTTTGCATTAACAATGTTTGTCCTGGTTTAGCCAAGATGACACGGAATTTATCACTTCAAATTCTAAATGCTTTTGCTACAACATTTAAAATCTATGTTAACTCCCAAGTATGCAGGTGAACTTGCAGAAGTTATATAAAAAAATTTAGCATAGCTTTACATTAACAAAATCCAAAAAAGATAAGTAGTTGCATTACAGATTACTCCATCTCTCTCTCTCTCTCTAGACTCCAAAGGTCTTATGATTCATAATACAGTATTAAATATGATACAATTACAAGTGTCAGACTAAAAGGTTGTGCCACAGAAGGAAATCCAAAGGACCTGGCTGTCTGAAGCTGATGATTACGCAGGTCTAGGCGACAGGAATTTTGTACTACTTCTTGTGGAAGTTCATTTTCACCTGCGTCCATCAGCCTGTTAAGGTTCCGCACCTAGAAAAATTCAAAAGGTTGTCCCTGAAAGCCAGACTGGCACAACAGCAAATAACTTTATGCAGCTAGCAAAATCAATGCTATTTGAAGTGAACCAACTCAAACTGTGCTGCAAAATCACATCTGAATGTGAGGAAATAAACAACATTATCCCAATGTTTGCATTCCTATGAAACACTTCCCAGAATTCAGTACAGATACATTACAGGCAAGAGTCACAGATCTGGCTGTTCTTTGTCTTGGCTCCCTCCACATGTGGATGCTGGAAAACCTTTAACAAACTCATGAGCTTTCTTCCCTAAGTCAGCTCACAGTCTCAAGACAGAGTTTCAAACATCTCTAATTTAGAAAGAAAAAAATTACTAAATCTCACAGACCAGTTAGGTGTGATGAATTTCAACCTCTTCATAATGTCAGTCTGCCAGACGTGCAACTCTGCATTAGGTAGATATTTTGGAAGATTAACTGGAACAGTACAAAATTCCCTGATTTCTGTTCATCTAACATACCCCAAAAAGGCCACTGGAAAAAAGATCCCTGTGAAATATATGTTGTCTATAAGGCTTTGTGTATAATAGCTACTTACTTATCCAGGTAAATAAAAAACAATAGGAGGCAAGCAGTTTGCAAGTTTCAAGAGAGACTTCTCAAAAAGTTACCATTTAGGGGGTCCTTACTCTCATACAAATCTCTCTCCTTTTCTCCTCCCTCATCCTTCTGGGTTAGCTTCTACCATTTATGCTTGAAGCTCATTGTGATCTAGTTGTTACGTTTATGGGTTGTTTTCGATCTGGTCATGGTAGGAACCTTTTGGATAGCAGCCCAATCCCATGACAAGAATTAAATTTATTTGCAAGAGTTAGCATTCCTTACTGCACCATTGAACACAGCCAGACTGTGACGCTGGTACATCCGCAGTTTCTCCAAACAATGAAGTAATTCTATTTAGAAGCCAGTGATGTGTACTTATCACATTACCACAGAAAGGAAAAGTTCCAAAGAGCTCTGTCCACTCTCTCTCACTTTCCTTTATTCTGCTAACACTCTCTTGCCATCTTGGTTTCTTTCCCAGCATTTGGAATTACTGCATTAAGTGCTTACATCCCCTCATAGCTCTCGCATTGTGAGGGAGAAGCAGCAAGGCACAAGTTTTTAATCTTACATTTTCCACTTCTCTGAAGACACGGAGAAAGTTCTCCCTTAAGACCCCTTTCAGTTCAGTTTCATTCCATCCTCTGCTAAGAAGTTCCTCAATCAGAGAAGGGTATTTAGAAACATCTTCCAATCCCTCAGGGAAACTGTTGGCAAGAGTGATACAAGAACATTGAACACACATCGCTGAAACAACATTGAAAAATATTTTTAATTAGTCTTTTGCACATATTCACTTTTGGAGTAAGCTCACTTTGGACCCAGTTCTTCCTCTGAGAAGTTAGAAAAAATAATTAAGAATTCAAGTGACAAACAGAAGCAGGACTGGGACACAATGAAAGTCTTTTTCTGCACAGAGGATCCCGTTAGCAGAACAAAACTGTGTATTCTGGAACAAAGATGCACTTGTGGATAGGCAGAATGACAGCATGGAGGATATTAGAATAAGACAAAAGGAAAAAAAAGCAAATTAATGTATGCATTAATCCACTCTTTATATCTGTTTTTTAGAGTAACAGGAAACAGCTGCATCACAGACAAGAGTTGGTGCAATCCACTTGTGTAACAGAACAAAAGGGAACCTGAAAACACATGATGACTATGGAGTTGCAGGCAATTTTGTGTACTCTGTTTCTTACAAAGTCATTTTTCCAAAGAAAATACAAATAGAATAATAATATTACTTTGAGTTCAGCAGCTTAGGTAGTGAAAAGAAAGCTATTCAGAACCCTCTGCTGAAGAAATTACAATAAGCAAAGCTGACCCATGTCTGATAAAAAGACTGTCTAATATGACCTATGTCAAATAAAAAGGAATTAGAAGTAAGCTGCTGCAAACTCTGCATTAAACAGCTGGTTTAAATTGTATTCCCATGAGTCTTTGACTTTGTTTTGAGATAACTAATATTTTCTGTTATTTTTCTTTTCTGTGGAGGTGTGGTGACAAGCATATCTCAAGAACTCTGCACCACTACTTTCTGCCAGGACTTAGGACCTTAACAACGCCACAGCCCATTGAACTGACGGTCTTTGCGAAAATGCATGCACTAAAATGTGTCCTTTTGTTGCAAACCGTGTTTTTATTTTGGAAATTATAGTTTCAGAGCTATGATTAGCTAACTCTCATGGGAACTGACACACTGTTTTTGTGGTCCTGCTTTACAGATGTGTGTCTGACTGTGACTTTCATAGCCAAGTGTGTCTGACCCCAGGAAAAAAAACAAAAACAAAACCAAAAAAAAAACCAAAAAAAGGAGATGAAGATTCAACAGAAAGCTAAAAAGCAAAAAAAGGTTTAGGGTTATGCCAGCAAATGCTACCCAATCTGCATTTATTTCCTGTGCTGTAACAACACTAGCCCAGGAATGAGCGGGAAAGGTTGTGTTGTAGGCTGTTCACCATGCTCTGCTTGCCTCAAACACTTCCCAAGCCCTAAAAGCAGGAGTGGTTTCACAGCCCCAAAACACTTTGGTCTTTCCCCACTAGAAAGTAATAGTGTGCCTCTCTTTCATGAAACTTGTTTTAGTACTTATCACAAGACAACTTGCTACAGATCTTTTAGTCTGCCTTCTTTCCCCAAAAGGAATCAAAAGCTTCATAATTTAAGGAGCAGATGTCAACATATGTACAATTTTACTGACCGTTCCACTCCATCATAGTCACCACCAATTCCTATCGATTCTGAACCTGCAATTTTCTTTATGTGGTCAAAATGATCTGAAAGAAAATATCAAAGAAAGTTGACCGTACTCTGGATATTTACTGATGCTTAACTAGAGGTTGTCTGTTATTAAGCACATTAGGCAGCAGTCTTCAAAATAACAGCTACACTGCAAATGAGGAAAAAGACATGATCATCACAGCACTTTAATTCCCAACAAGTAGCCCACATATAACAACAGATTTTTCATTACCCATTACATATGTATGTTTTGCACTCTTAATTACAAAGGTTTAAGATGTTTTCCAGAGAGTAGCAACTACTTTTGGACTAATGGTTATTGGCTCCATTTAGGGGCATCACATCCTCCAGCTACACACCTTGTGCCTCTTGTTATTATTTAATGAATATCAGCTCCAAAAATACCTAGAGCTGGGGTAAGGTGTGGAAGGGAATAAAGTATAATTTATACAATCTCAAAAATGATGCAGACACCTGGAAATTCATAGAAGCCACCCACAAAAACTACAGTATATTAACTTCAAACCTGCAAGGGTAGAAATATTAACAACTTTTCTGCCACAGGCCAGTACATCTGCATTGAAGGTCACCATGATAATTCCCTTGTTCTTTTTCTGAAAGATATGAAGAGACAGGCAATGAGTGGACACTCGCATGTCCGGCAAACCTCCTCGGCATCTCATACAGATCCTTCCTCATCCATCAGCGAGCCTAGCAACACTCTGTAAAGCTCAGATGGCAACACAAGGCTTTGCTTCTCTGTCCTTTACCCTGGATTCATTATATTCTCCTATAGTTTGAATCAGCAAAAGTCCAGTGACTATGTATGTCAAACAAACTCAAGCAGAATTTCAAAGAATTTGCACTTCATTTTTGTAGCTGAAGACAAAACACAACTCAAAGAAAATGTCTCAGAAGTGACTGTGTAACTTGCTGCTCAGGGGTCTGCTTATAAACCCAATTCAGAGATGAGAAAGTGAAAAGTAAACACTGTTACTTGAATGCCCAGGTTTGCCTCGGGGTAGCCAAACATTGCCATTAAAGTAAAAAACACACACACACACAAACCAAACCCAACAAAACAAAACCCCCAATCACCCCCCCAAAAAACCAAAACTAAAACCATATTGCTCACCAGTTGCTGGAGGATATCATCAGGAACATTTCTTGAGTGATTACAAATAGAAAATGCTGAGGAATGGCTGAAAATTACTGGTGCTTTTGAGATATTCAGTGCAGCTTTTGCTGTGGAATGTGAAGTATGAGATAAATCTATCAGCATACCCAGGCGATTCATCTCCTTTACCACTTCCTAAAACAGATGTACAGACAACAATGTCAGTGTTAAGTTTCCTTAAAGGAAACCATTTAGCTGATATATGTAAACAGATAAATAAATTCTGCAACTGTCAGCTAGTCATAAACATGGTGTGCCTGTATGGGTTTCTATTTACCTATTAATTTAATAGTAAATTATTCACTCACAATTAACTAGCATACCACCACAGGCTCAAAACTTAGTCAATCTAAAATAAGCCATTTGAACTGTTATTCACATCCCACTACTTCCACATATTGATTCATACATCTGAACTGTATTAAAGCAATTGTTATAAATAAATCTAATGCTTCTTTTACCCTAAGGAATATTACAGGGAATTTGGTTTGACTAAACCCTGATCACCTCCTATCAAGAACTTCCAGTAATTAATTTTTAATGACAAGTTTCTTTTGAAAAGATAAGGCCAGGAGTTGTTAGTTGCATGAGAGATTGCTTAGATTAGCATTTGAAAGAGATCCTTACTTGGCCAAATGCAGTCAGACCAGTAACAGTAGGATAAAAGTTGTGTATTCCTTTGGAAGATGATTCAGACCTTAAAAAGGTGAGTGAGGGAGGAGAAACATTTATTATTCTGAAGACAACAGTATCAGCAGCTGGAACTTCTTATGCTACACACAATAAAAACCATGACCATGTCACATAGCCAAATGTAGGGATAATGAGCTACGTAACACCTATCTTGTTCACACAGTGTTTTTCATGTTCATAACTGTTTTCTGGACATTATGCCTTCAGGTTCAGGACTGTTGTATGTTTGTGAAGCAATGCAAGACAAGCAAAGAGATGCTTGTCAGAAATTTTCTGTTTAGATAAACCTTCATCAGAAAACAAAGATACACTGAAACATCAGTGTACCTGCTAGCCAGAAAGCCTGCTTTTCAGCCCACTCTGCACACAATTCCCCTTTCCAAGTTAGTACAAGAAGGAATTTTGTCAATCCAGCAAGGAATAGGTGCTAATATTGTGATACAGGAACTAAGTACTGATCTCCGTAACTGCATATAGGACCTGCACTTTTGAGCTAGGCAGAGAGGACAACGTTGAAACCTGCTGACTACTGAGTTCTTACATAGCATTTACCCTCTTTTATCTACATCATCTGCATTTTTAGAACTTTTTTTTTTGGCCTGTTTCGCCCCATGTAACTTTCCTAATAAAGCAAAGGGATAACAGTTTTACCATCTTTGTGTTGTTAACAAAGTTTAAAAGTTCCCAAACTGTCAGCATAACAAGCACTACATAACAGATCCTTCGGTCTCCCGACTGATACATGGCAAGTGATTTACACCAAAAACCTATCATCCTTGACTTGGTTCAGAGTCTTTCACAGGTGAACTCTGTGTTTGAATCTGTATTTTCCCCATCTTGGAGATGCCACCTCTTTGCATTAGACAGTCACACAAGAACATGCACATTAGTTACCAAGGTGTATTGCAGGAATGTGTTAAAGTCATGTAACGAACACCCAGGTCATAATACATCCTCAGTGTTGCCAAACTAGCATCAATGGAGTGACCACCTTCTATTCCAATCAAACACGCGATCCTTCTACTGTCAGAGATGCCTGGAACAACAAAGGAAGCCAATTTCAAAGTAGTTTCGTGACAGATAAGAAACCAGCTCTACTGAGCAACAATTGTTGCTGTAAATTGCAAGCAATAATACTGACATTTTCCTAGAACAGGAGCTTATACTAGTGCATGTTTATATGGCAAATTTTCTCATGACTTCAGTGGGCCACAACTGTGCATAGAGTCAGTTATTGTGGTTCAATGGAAAAACTGAAGTTAAAATTACTCTTTAAACCAGGATAACTTGCTTGCTTGCAGCTCTCTCTCTTTTGCACATACCTCCTGCAATCCCATTTGAAAAAATTGTTACAAGAAAGAGCATAACCTTGGGAAGTTGTCACAAGTTCAAGCTCTTCATAGCTGCTACACATCCTCTTGACAACATCAATTTGCTCTAAGGTCAGACGCACAGCATCCTTGTTCTGAGCGCTGCAAAGAACATACACTGACCAAAACTGAAAGAGACATTGACAAGTAAACTAGGTAACTTCTGTTTCAGCTTGGAAACTTTAATTTGCTAATAGTGAAGTTCATGAGCACAGATCAAGATAATTTCCTACGGTTTACAAGGGAGTTGCAACTGTAGTTTTTCCCCCCAAAGGAAGAGTTATGATGCAAGGCAAGAGCATCTGCTCCAGACATGATTAAAGCCTCCTGACACACTCAGCTACTCCACAGTACACGCAGGAAAGTGGATGTAAGTTCATTTTGATTTATTTATCATAAAACAAATGCTACTGTTTTGGTTAAGGATACCTGGATTATAAAATACAAACTTTTGAAACACAAATGCTATGGAAAAGCATCTGAGACTTTTCAGTTTCATTGTTTTTTTCTTTTTCAACAGGAAGAGCCAAAACCAAGGCCAGGAGTACTTTTGTGATTGGGAGGGAGGCAAATGCAAAAATATATTCTCAGACTCACAACCATGGCAGTACATACCTGAGCTCCCACATAACCAGCCTGAAGTTTTGCAAGGTTTGTGTGGGTGTTGTTGAGTTCTCTTAAGTTGACTCCACTGAGTCTATTTTTGTAAAATATTCTTAGCCGCAGTACAAAGTCATTGTGGCTAGAATTGAAAACAAATAGGGCTTGTAATAGAAATAAATTTTTCCCCTTCTAACCCAAACGTAGTTTCTTCCACTGTTCGTAGTCCCTTAGACCATTAATTGCAATAATCTTTGCAGTAACATACACTTAAAAGTCTCCCTTCTTTCGCAAACAAACTTTATTTTTTTAATTAGGACAGCAAGAAACTTTTTTTGCTTCTCCCGTTTTTACAGCTATTGTGTTTCTGTATCTATTTTTCTCCTTAGAAACAAGTACTTGTGGTAGAATAACCAGTGCTGCCTGTGCTAGAACAATCAGTGTTTGTGTTCCCAGGTCAAAATACACTCACCACAGACATCATTCCTTCAAGTTGTAAGGGTACCCTTTCACGGTGTGAAGCCTGCTTTCTAGCTATGCACAGAATTCATTGCTAATGAAAGATGCCATTAAATTACGGGAAGGAGACAAAAATTTTATGTAAAGGGAAACAATAATTAAGTGGCAAAACCTGACCAGAAAATCACAAATGTATTTAGAATAACCTGATCCTATAGTAAGTACCCTCTGAACCAAAATTCCTTCCCAATAAATCACTGCAACAGTAACTAGCTGCTATGTGCTACTAACAGCCTATATCTCTACTGATCCAAACACACTTTTAGCATTTCCTCCTCACTTGTCAAGATTCACAAAGAGGACTTAATTGAACGTATTTTATATACCCATCGATTAAACGTGCATCTTGCATCAGTTTGATAGCTCGGTCTCTCATTGATTTCTCATAGCTGAATGGCACAGTACCAGAAAAGAACATCAACAGCCACATCAACAACTTCATTGTATTTATCTTCATTTCTATTTTCCAGTTTTTCAGAGCAAAGAGATACCACAATTATTCACTGATGACAATGGAACAGCAAAACTTCCTTTCTGTGGAGATTGTAGTCTTAATAGTATAGGCAGAGCTGAAATGCCTCTACTTCTGGTGAGGCTGGGGTGAATTCTGCAGGAGGAAAGAAAGAAAGAAAGAGAATATTAAATAGAAGGGAAGGTAGCAGTGGAAACTAAACCAGCTACCTTCTCCCAAAGATTTTAAGGTCTTTGGCTATTGTATTTTTGCACATATAACCACTCCTTAAACTCTGCTGCTGCCACCAGCTGACTGCTGAAGGGAATCAACTCCTCAGAGCTGGCAGGGTGAGCCTGATGGACCCTGAATCACACCTCCCAAAAAGCAGCTCCCAAAACAGTGTAACAAGGTAGTTTTCTCATGGTTTGTTCTCACTGTCTGGGAAACCTCACACTGAAATGAACAGTGAAACTGTTTTGGGGAAATTTGAGAAACGAGCTGCTTCTGAGCAAATTGTATTGTTAAAGCACACAACATGTCAGAGGATTTTCAGAGGAAAGCTACTGAAATCTAACACTTTTCCATACCTTAGCAAGGATAATATGTACCAAACTTGAAAGGGTCACTTTATTTCCATGAGGAAATGGGTATGGCAACAACTTCAAGAGTAATCCAAGCACCCCTTGCTCTTTTTAAAAAGATAGTACTCAAAACACTTGGGCAACAGCCTTTCAGGTGTCCGTCAAAAAGCATTTTTACAAACAGATTAGAAATACCTTCTGTTCTATGTAAAGTAAATATAAGATCTGCTAGGAAGTGAAAATACCTTTGCAGGGAAAAGTTTGGGGTTTTTTTTACCCCCACATTCAGGGTTACTAGCAGCATTACCTATAAAGCTGAGGAGCAGTCACCTCCTTCTTTCATTGGAGTGACATTCTAATTGGATGCACATACCCTGTGAATTCTTTCAAATCAAATCAGTTTGGCTAGAATTCTAATATTGCAGAGCCAATGCTCAATTTTTTCCAAAAGACAACAAAAAAATGTTGACTTTTCATTTGTTTTCCACTGAGTCACTCAAGTTTACATTTCTAAACTTTTTTCTGGCAGCACAAACATTTGTTTTTACTGGTTTTACTGTTTTACTGGAAGTTGGTTTTATGTATTCCTTGTCTGCAGAGATAAAAACAAATAGCAAATATCCAAGATATCATACAATTACAAGGCAATTCACCTGCCTGCATGCTTTGCTTCTCTTTAAGCAAATTTTCTAAAGCAACAGGATGTGAACATAAACCCAGGAAATGGTTTCCTGATATAAACCCACATATTCATCAGCAATGTCACAGATATCTCAAGGGAGATCCATGGGTGGCAGTGGCATTGTAAACAAATTCCAGTCACGCTAAGGAGATTACCTGTCGATGGCATCCTGTTCTAAACACATTTCTTTCTTTCCCTTACTAGAACATTTTTATTCTATAAACCAAAATAAGAGTAGGCCTGTAACCAGGATATTGAAAAGCAGCACAGTGAAAATCATATTATTAAGATTCTTATATTTCCAGCCTATATATTAAACCGTTTTCTTGTCACCTGCAATATGTAGAGTGTAAATCAAAGGAAAAGTTAACTGGCTTATGTGCCCTGCCAATGCCTGATGAAATTTAAACATGTTTGTAAAGGAATTACTTTTAATAAGCCAGTATAAGTTTAATTAAGCTTGCAATTAAGATGTTTTAAAATAAAAATCCATTTTTGCATGTATTTTATCTTTAAATCAAAATAATGTAAGTTTTTAAAAAAATAATTAAGAAATGACCTCACAACTTGGGTTTAGAAAGGTGCAAACTGCTATTGTAAAAAAATCCTTTAACTTTTACAAAAATTCCTAAGGTTCCTCGTTTGAGAAACTGTGTTGCGCCTCCTCTGTTTCACAAGATTTGGGAATGCATTAAATTGTAGGACAATCCGGCAGGAAGTACTTGTGAACAATGGGAACATACAAGCTTCTACAAAAGGGAGCATAGACAGAGAAGCAGGTTTAAAATCAGCCCTGAAGTAGCCTCCGAAAGAAGCTCTAGGACAGCTGAATAAACACAGTAGTACGCAGGCACAAATGAAGATCCAATATAAATATGATACCAGGAGAGCTGGGGCACTATCTAAAGAAAATTAATAATCCTCACTTCTTAATGTTTCCTACAAGAAAACATAATGTAAGGAATGGCATAGAGAGTATTTGTGAAGTACGGAGACCTAAGCTACACAGAGGAAAGCACTCTAGAAATGGTTTCGTCCTTCGAGTATGCTTAACAGCCTATGTTCTCATTCATTAACAAACATAACAGAAGTGATTGACTCCAAGTTTCTTCCCATGTGTACAAAACTTAAGAGGTTTTGGCTAGGCCTTTAGGACAATATGGGAATCAATTTACATCTTAAGTCTACACATCTGGCTTTTCTCACGGGAATGGTTCCCTGCAGGCCCAAATACTTCCCCCGGGGTCAGACCAAAGACCAGACTTTCCAAGACTGGGATGATATTCTCAGACTGTCCTTCACCAGAGCACAGCTGACACCCTGGTAACACTTTAATTTGTCCAGGATTCATACCTGATGGAAGAAGCCCTTATGCCTCTCATGTCTGCACAATAACCAAGGGAACCTTCTGCGTTCTTCCCACATTGACTGATTGGACTGCTTTTATACATTACCACAGCTTTGTATTTGTATACAGGGAAAAGTTTATTGGGAGGGTAATTCTCCATCAATTTTTTTGTAATACTGCCTTTAGCAGAAAAATATTTGAATTGTTATTGGAAACAACTGTGATGCATCAATACTGAACAAGTTGACCTCTGTTATTACTTTTACTCAAAGAAATCGAATATTTATAATTACATATTTGGGAAAAAATTAGGCGGGTCAAAGATACTTGGACTTACACATTATATCTAGGTACAGTGAAATCCATGTTCAAAATACATGTTGTGAGTCTACAAAGTGGTGTTTGATTTCCTTCTCTTATTTGTTTTCAATAAAATCCATTTATGCAAGAGGGTACGTTCCAAAAAGAAAAGATAAACAGAATCCTACATGCATTTAAAACCGCAGCGGTTTGCTTACAGTTGATTTATTTTGATTAACCTCATGGAGAAAATTGGAAGGTACTATGCAGGGGGAATATGCAGGCCCAAAAGCCTGCTACTTCTCCTGAGAAGCTGCTCTCTCCCAGCCCTGGGGTTCACAAAGCAAAGCACACTATTAGTCCCCACGGGACAAACCTAGAGGCAGTCTCATGATGATGCTCCAGGAACTGAAATATATCTCTTCAGGTCTGAGTTAGGCACCACAGCTGAGTCTCCCACAGACCACAAGTCTGTCCCAAAGAAATATGTGTAACACTACAGGGACAGTGGGCAAAAAGACAAAACTTTCTTCTTACTTTCAGCTCCACTCCTCACAGGCTTGTAACATACAGAGACACATAGTGTGGAAGAGATAAGGAGGGAGGTGCAAAATGCAGCTCTATCTCTTCTTCCACATTACACTTCAGAGCCAAAACGTCTCTTTCCATATCTACCTTTGCATCTCTCACTGAGAGCATAACTGCTTTTCATGCCCACCATATCTCTGCACACAGGATAAGCACAGCAATCTTCGGGCATCAAGCTTAGAAAAGCCAACAGCCCACAGCCCAGAATAAACAATGACTGTCCCTGGAGAGCTGCAACAGGCACAGAGTGAGTCTTTGCAGACACACGTTACAGAAATAAAGCTTTACTACTTCACACTAGTTAGCTTCTACCATTGGTTTACATTCTCCAAGCTCTTCATGGACAGCTAGGAAGTTACTATCAATAAAATATGAATGCTGAGAAAGCGTACATTACCCTGAGCGTTCCCACATCAGGGAGGACAGAGCTATAACGAAGCAGGATGGCCATATCTGCCATATAAGGATGCAACAAGGGGTGTTTGCTCTTTTAAAATAGATACATTTTAATGGAAAGTTTCACAGTAAGAAAGGAAAGTCTTTCTGCCTGCTTCTGTCATTTACCATCTTGGGAAGTATGTGCAAGCTGCCTGGCCCCTCTTCTCCTTTCCAGCAGGCAGGCCAGACCTCAGTGCAGAAGGTTCAGTAAACAGCTGCTATTTAAGTGCAGCAAATCTCAGTTAGGAATGGCATTCCTTTCATCCCATTTGAAGTCCTTATTCTCCATCTTATTCTTTGCTAAAAAACTTCATGACAGCCATTATGTTAATACTCGAATTCATTGAATTGTTGACCCCAATCAAATATATAAAGTGCAATAAAATAGAGCTCACAGCTCAAGAGATAGTAACATATCCTGAAAAATGAAGAAGGTTCATATCCCCCC